TCCATTTTTCTTTTAGTAGAATCTAACTTTTAAAGAAATATATATATTTGAGGTAACATTGGTTTACAACACCAGTGAGAGAGGCCATTGGAAGTTTGATAGGGATTACAATGGACTTGAATGTCACTTTAGAAAATGCAGCTATTTTAACAAAGTTCTTTATTACAGTCAGAATATTGTTCCATTTGTTTGTGTCTATTATTTATTTCAACAATGTTTTTTTTTTTTTTTAAGATTTATTTATTTGTGCATACAATTTGTGCATACAGAACTGGGGTACAGGCCAGAGGCTCAGGGGCGGTGAGAGGCTTCACCAGAGACAGAGTGGGGAACAGAACAGGCAGATCGAGGAAGTACACTGCTGAGGGGAGCAGCGGGCGGGTCAGGAGAGGTCTGCCGTGCCATGTGGTCTCCTCCGGGGCAGGCGGGAATCGAACTCATGGGGAAGCGGCTTTAGATACTCAGTGCTGTGCTTTAACCCGCTGCGCCACCAGGGAGGGCCAATTTCAACAATGTTTTATAGTTTTTGATGTATAAGTATTTCTCTAAGAGGGCCAGTATTAACTATGGTCTTCTTATAATACAACTTTCTAGGTAAATCCTCAATATCTAGAGGTTGAGTAACAAAGTTGAGTAAAAGCATCACTACCCATATCTTGATGCTTTTAATTTTATTAAAGGCACCCATTTACTCTGTGGTGACTATTATAATTTAGCTGATTTACATTGAAATTACTATTAGCATAAATCTCAAAATTTTCTTTATAGGTTTTTATTCTAAAATATATTTATATATTTCATAGTATGTATAAATATATTCATATTTAACATTTCTATTAAATAGATTTAATAGAAGTCATGTATTTAATATGTTCTAGTTTTGGAGGCAGATATATTTTTTTCTTCTTCATTCGATTTGAGATACTACTCAAGTTTTTCAGGATATTTAAAGGCAGTTTTCAGTTCTTCTTCCTAAGAGTGGTTGCTTGTAGAAATTTCTGTGGATGACTTTAGTGTGTATCTCTTTGAGAAATACACGATCAAGGGTGGCTTAGAGTTGAAGCTCCATAGCTTATTATTAGAACTTCTACTTCCAGTAAACATCTTTCTATTTCTAAGCATATGGAAATGGTACTTCACCAGTTGCTAAACCAGATAATCATTCTCAAACTTTTCCATGTTGGCTATACTGAAATCATAAGAGATCTGTAATGACCAGTGAAAGGATTAAGGATGCACATCTTCTCTATTTCTATCATAGAAAATGAATGGTTATTCTGAAATGTGTTTTGCATGATTATGACAGACTGTATGATCTGTAGTACTTCTTACACAAGCATGTAAAAAATAAATTGGTTATTGCTTTATGCTTTCATCAGTTGCTTATCTGCATGAAAGCAGAGCACCGTATAAAATGTGATTATTGCGCCGCTTCAATGCGAGTTCTATCCCTGGCTTCCAGAGGTGACCCATATGCCAGGCAGACCTCTTCTGACTCACCCACTGCTCCCGTCAGCAGTGTACTTAGCCAGTCTGCCTATGCTGCTCCTCCCTTTGTCTCTGGTGAAGCCTCTCACTGCCCCTGCAACTCTGGCTTGTACGCCAGTTCTATATGAATAAACACATAATTTTAAATAAAATGTGATTATTACAATTTCAATAATCACTTTAGTGAAGAATGAACCATAGTACCACCTGTGTGTAGTTAATTATTCTAAGTTCTACCTGATCAAATGTGCTTATATTCCTTCTAGTCTATCTTATATTTCATTTGCAAGTATTGCATACCTTGAGATCCCAGAGTAAAAGTGGGCATTCGAAGACATCTAAAAAGATGACTGTCTGAATCTGTCTCTTAGAGAAAGATCCCAGTTTATCATTACAGAGTTATCTTTCCAGTTTCTCTAGCCTGACCAGCATCAATCATGGTGTTAGATGCCTCTGTGTCACCAGAGAAAATAACCCTTATATCTCTTCTATGGCAATATAAGTGGGGACTCAGGATCAGAAACATCCAGGCTTTCTGTTTTAGAGATTAGCTTTGTAGTAAATTCTGCTGACTGATACATTGCCCGGTCTTTTGACGTAATCTTTGACATAGGAGACAATAAGTAGCTGTCCACCATCCGACATTCCCCACACAATATGTTCCCTATGGGTTACTTACTTTCTTGCTTTTAACTTGAAAATACAAGCGATGCACTAAGTGCCTGACAGCTCTGCTGTTCTACAGCTCAGGGACATTGGTGTGTTTTCAGCATAGCACTTTGGAAACCATTTAAATATTGTGTTCATGGCGCCATTGGGTGATGACGACTCTAGAGCCCTTCATCTAAATCATCTTAGTTCTCATAGATAAAAGTCCTTCTCTGGTGAGTGTATTTTTTTTTTTTTAGATATGGATTTCATTGTTTGGTGCTTCTGACAAATCCCTCTGCAGGTCACCCCACTCAGAGGAAAGTACCTGTTAACTTCGATTATGGGGATCCACTGGGTGTGCTTATTATGGTTTTAGCAAGAAGAGCCACCAAAGAAGGCTAGCAAACACACACTTTGTTTTCAAGTATATCCCCAGAATGTTCTGTGCTGGTGTCTCCACAGAAGCTTCAGGAAGAAGCTGGCAACTCAACATTTCTTTTATTCAACTAGAAGTAGCCAAATAGTTAAGCTTCTTTGGAAAATGTCATGATGTGAAAATTTAAAATTAAATTTCATGACCTCTTACAGACCACATGTTTCTCTTTATAACTACTAGATTTTTTTGTAACTATTCTTTTCCTTGTGTTCCCTGGGCTTCATCAACATAAAGGGATTTAAAATGAATTCTTTTCAATAACCAAAAATGAGTAAGAACTTATGTGTGGATACAATGCTAGGAAAATCTCATTTAAGTCAGAAGCTGTATGAGAGAGAACATAATACAACATAATACAACATTGGCTCATTATCTTAATGCTACTGTTTCTGTTCCATTTATCCCTGAGAGTTTAGATTTTGGAGTTTTCCAAACTCTAATTGTTTTCTCACATCTTCCTTAGGAGTAACACACTGAAACATATGATCCCTTCACAATTGGAATAATCCAATTCAAGAACATTTTCATTTTTTTTTCCTGTTGGCTTGTTGAGTCACACCAAGATCCTAAACCATATTCAATCATTCCATATTTTACATTAAGTAAGCTAATTAAAGGCAGTCAATTATGACTCTAGCTACGAATGTAGGAACATTCCAGCTAATTTTTTTTTTTTAATTTCCTGGAATAGCAGTTAGTTTCTACCACCACAACATCTTTGATCTTTCTTAAGGCAGGAGACTATAAAAGAGGAAACATGATCAGAAGTTAACTAACCTATATTATAGTTTATTAGCGATGAGAAACAATTCCACAGATTTTCTTACAATCATTGCAGGATCCCCTAGGATTCTTTTTTTCCTTCTAATTTTTAAAGTGCAATATTCACTCAGAGAGTGAAGTTGTCTCCACAGGTTCAAATGCAGCAAAAAGCAAAAGCAAACTGAGAATCCACATCTCCTGGCTTTTGGAGGTCTGTCAGGTCCATAGCACCATCTGCCTTAAGTTTTTTTTTTTTTGTTCAGTTGAACCTCTGCACTTGAACATGCATAACTATCAACTAACCAGTTATAACACTGTCTTTGTGCAATGACGGAGCATCTTATATAATTCTAAGTATATCTTCCACGGGATCTGTGGAGTAACTATTCAGTTTGGTTAAATTCTGCACTGGTCTACTAATACTACCCTAAATGAGGATGCCTGTGATTCTTAACGAGTGCGTGTGCTTGACTTTGTACTGAGAAAGCATTTGGAAGTTATTTCAGTTGTTCACATCAATCTTCAAAACAGCCAATCAGGTCTGAAATCCTGTTATCAAAAGCTGTGCAGGTTACAAATTGTTTTAATTTAGTCTAGAGTAACAAGATGTGTGTGTGTGTGTGTGTGTGTGTGTGTGTGTGTGTGTGTGAGAGAGAGAGAGAGAGAGAGAGAGAGAGAGAGTTTTCTTGACACTAGCAAGGTATTGGACCTATGCTGCATTTCCTGTTCATCTTCACAAATACAAACTGACCTCCTAGGGAATGCTCTGTCTCATCTAGACCCTCCTCCGTGCCTTGAGGACTTTGGGGTAAGGCATCAAAGGGCACCACTCAAGCTCAATCCTCCCGGCTACCACCGGACTACGGATCACTGATGAATGAGCCAGCAGTTGGGTGTTTAGCAGGCTGTGACGACTTTGCACGGAAACAGGAAAATTTATTACCAGCCTGCCACATCTGTGTCTGCCCTGCCTGCTTTTTCTCTCCATGCCCCCTGGATGTCAGCTCCCTCTCCATCTAAACAGTCAGCCCCTTCTCACCCCCACCCCCACTGTTTCCTTTCCTCCCCTCCGGCTCCCCCCGCCCCCCCGCTGAGAACTGCTGGTCGAAACTAACAAGGAGTCCTGACCATCATTTTTCAAGAGCTGTGGTTCTAAAGATGATGCCATCGGTCCAAGGGTTTCATTTATTATTATTATTATCATCATCATCAATATTATTATTATTTATGACATTGCTTTCCACCTGACCTTGCTGGGGCGGGCTCTGGGTGTTCCTGTGCTCTAGAAAGTGTGCAGCCCCCGAAGTATGCATGATGGGGGGAAGACAGAGGGTAAGGCAGCGGGCGCGAGAAGCTGGGAGGAGAGGAAGGCGGAGAGGCTGCGAGAGGAGAGGATCAGGCGGACAGGCTGTGCCAGCCAATCAGAGGCGCGCTCGGGAGCTGCAGAAGCCGGAGTCGCGGAGCCGGGGGCTGCGGGCGGCTGAGCCGAGTCTGGGGCTCTGGGCTGGAGCAGCTGTGCCCGGAGCCCGGGGAAAGTCCCCGCGCTGCCACTCGTAAATTAAGTTCCTTTCCACCAGTTAGGGCAAGTCAGCCAAGGTAAGGCTTCCATCAATGGCACCTGACGGCGTACTGACATGAATCTATTTGTCTAAGGGGCTGTTACCTGCTTCGGAGTCAAAACAGTGTTTGGTGAAATCGACCTCTGGGATTGGTTTCACAGGTCTGGTGCGGACGGGAAAGTTGTAGCGGAGGCTTCGGAAGGCGAATCGCTAGGCTGCGTTTATTGCACAAAATGTCTTGTCCAGGCACGGTGCCCCAGCGCCTATGGCATGCGAGCCTAATCAGCCAGCTGTTTCTGTTTATCTGTGGTTGTGCCGCTATCCGTTCTGCCCCTGAAGAAGTTGGAGGGTCCCCGGCAAGGCACGTTTGAGTCTTGATGGCATCAAAATAAGCTTGGCTGGGCGGTGTGTGTGAAAGTGAGGAAGAACCTTGTCAGAATGGAAACAAGAACGCTGAAAGTGAAATTTCGATAGAGCTTTTTAATTGTTGCCTTTCCAGTATCCTCTAAAATTACATGATATTTGAGCTCTGAAGCTGGGGTAGAGCAAGGCTTGTTTTCCCTGTCTTTTTTTTTTTTTTTCCATTAATCGCTTGCATAAATGCATACTAAAGCTTAAGAGGAAACTTTTGCTTCTTTTAAAGAGCCCTATAAATGTTGCATGAAAAGAAATTAGGTAGGGTGCTCTGAACAGCATGCCCTTTATCTAGGATATATCCTTCTGTTTAGCTCTGGTTCATTCCCATCTTAAACTTCCTGAACATGATTTGAGTGAGACTAGCAATCATTTGTCTTTATTTTCATGTCTTAACAAGTAAAAATATGCCTTGTGCGTGTGTGTGCATGTGTATGTGTGTTTATGTACAGAAAAACCTGTCATACATAACAGGTAAAATTAAATTTTATTAGCTTTTTTATTGAAGAGTTTGTTTATATCAGTATTCATTGTGTTTAATGAACTTTCAGTTTAATTAAGAGTAAATGTGTCTTGTTATTTACATGCTAAAATGAAGAAATACTCAAAAATCTTAGCACAATTTATTATGGTCTTCGATTTGCTCAGGTGATGGCATCACTGCTTTGAGCTGAGAGACAGATCAGAGAAAGAAAGGTTTTTATTATGCAGCCAGCCAAAAAAAAAAAAAAAAACATACCTACCACTGGTTTTGACTGTGTCTTGGAACCTTTATTATCCACTGTGGGATCACCCACAGATTTTTCAAAGCAGGAGGCTTTCATTCTACAGTAATTGTTCTCTGTTTTAGTGTCCATGCCTTATCAGAGAAAATATTTAATTCTAAATCAAGAAGGCTCAGACTCGATGCATATGTACCTTGGATGTGGGAGGGGAAGGAGGGCCAGGGATGTGGCTGGAGTGGAGAGTTAACAGTTCTGTAGCCTACCACTTCAGCCCAGCAGCAAGCATCATTTCAGCTTATGCTCAGTTCCCTGTGACATCCTTAACTCTGGATTTCCTGATCATAAATTAGCCTAGCCCTGGTTGAACCCATGTATTCACTGAGTAAGGTGCTCACTTTATAGGCTTTGGTGGATAAGTGTTTTATAAGATATTGAGCTGCTTTTTCTTGGAGGTAGTAGACTTCAAGGAGGAAAAAAAAAAAGATAAAATTGGACTAAGTAGTCAATATCCTATATCCTAGCCTGACAGGTATCCTAGCCTGACAAACATGATAGAAGAAAATAGGGATTTGTGATTTTACATGTAATAGTGATGTCCAACTGAAGATAACTGAATACCAAAATGTACATATACTGGAAGAAAGATAAGAAGCAGAAAACTCTAGTTGTAACTATCCAGTGAATCTTGAGTATAATTAGCTTTAGCTGTTACAAGACTGGCCACTAGTAGCCTTGCATGAAACACATACAATGTACAAATAGATTATTCTTCCTCCTGGTGACCTATTTTGAATGGATATACTGGAATCCTGAGAATGAGTCATAGAGTCCAACTTTGTAAATTACTTAAATAAAGGGGGCTATAGATAGTAAATACAAAGTACTTTTTCGTTGGTTCTTATACATATCTTCATGCTTTTGGTTGATGTTTGTGGTATTAGTTTTATTAGAAATATAAGTATACCTCTATATCTGCAACCAGATACCATCATCCTTTGCCATCTAACTGTGCAGATCTAGGATAAAAAAATTTGCCCTAACTTCTTCCCTGAAAAAGTTTGCTTAACTCAAATCCATACATGTGATGGAGTGTAGTCAAGTGAAAAGTGAGAGAAAATGATTGAGAACTTAAAGACAGAGTATGAAGTTTGTACCTTTCTTTCTTTCTTTTTTTTTTTTTTCAGCAAGTCATGGGTTCACACCTTGTTGAATGACATATGTTCCTTATTCTTGTTTTATCCATCACTGTTGAACTGTATTTTAGTTGAAGCTTCCTCAACCACAGAACTGTTAATATTTTGAGTTATGTAATTTTCCAGGGTGTGGGGGGGTGTCCCTATATAGTGTAGGATGCTTAACAATATGTTTGTTTTACACACACACACACAAATAGCTGAAGAAAATGTTAAATACTCTCTGGGGTATGGGAGAAGAATTGCTTCCATTGAAACCACTACTCTCGGGGATAAAAGACATGTGTTTGGAAAGTGTATAAATATACTGTTTGAGCAGGCAGTGGTCTCAAAATACTTCAGTTTGGGAGAATTATTGGTAATCCCCCATTCTCTTGTCTTGTATAGGTTTCAATTTGCAGGTGTTTTATTTAGTTCCTCACACAATTATGGAAGAGGTTCCTAGTATTGTTTTTTTACCCCTATAAACTGAGAGACGAAACTGAATTATTATATACTAGCATTATATACTAGAAAATAAACCAGAGAAAGGGAAATGTAGAAGTTGAGAATAAAACACATTTCAAATTGGTTTTTAGGTGGGGCTTTAATATAAATAAGTGAAAAAATACTGATTCTACTCTACAATTATTTTGACTATTTTTAATATATATATATCAAATGTTATATATATATATGTCAATCATTATGTTGTATTATAAATATAGATATATGATTAATTTGAAGTGTCAGGAAGGTATGTCATTGTAAAAATACCAAGTACTAGGAACATAGTTTATTTTGTTTGAAAGTGTAGCAGTAAAAACAAAAGATCTTTGATTGACTTAATTCCATTTATTTTTGCATAGAAGAACTTAATTCCATTTATGTATTTTTGTGTAGGCCAGAGGTGTGGGGAGTGAGAGGATTCACCACAGACAAATTGGGGAGCAGAACAGGTGAATGGACTAAAATATAATGCTAAGGGGAGCAGCAGGTGAGACAGGAGAGGTCTGCTGCGCCATGTGGGTCAGCTTCCTGGTTGGGGATCAAGCTCATACTGCAGTGGTGATAGTACTGAGACTTAATGCTTAGGCCACCGGGGAGGCCCCGTGTTTGATTTTAAAAGCATAGATCTTAACTAGTAGTTCTGTACACATCATGTTGAAAAAAAAATTGGTAATTTGAAGATATAGTGGAGCGTATCTTCCACGGATTATGGGTGATGCATGGTTACTTGCATGATATATGACTGTACAAGTTATTTTCCTCTTCTACAAAAGGGTTTTGGATAGCATTGAAACTAAACAATATGTGGATTAAAGCGTGCTGTGATTTATAAAAATCTACTTTAGGGTTGGTAAATTGGTGATTACCTTGATGGGAATGTTAAATCTCCCAACTGCTCTAGATCACCTGCAAATCAGGAAGCAAAAAAGCACAATAAAAAAAAAAAAGAACTTTAATTTTAAATATGTTTTAAATTATGGCTAAAACTCAATTCTTATTTCCCTCCTTTCCCGAATTATCCACATTAATGATTTAAGAAAAAAATACAGAAATGTGAAATATAGACACAATTAGAAATCCATTCTTCAACAGTGAAATATTATTCATAACATGAGTTGGACATATATTATTAAATATATTTTACAAATAGGTTAATATGAATTTATGCATATACATATGAAGGACAGATTTAGAGTTGTAGTCATATAAAGTTGTGTTCATTTCCACAAGCATTTTTGAACAACATTACTTAAAATAAACAAAATTTGCTAATGTGTGCAGTTAATTTTATAGTTCATTCACTCTTCCATGTGGTTATATAGAGAATTCATCAATATTTAACAAGAATTCACTATGCCATTATGTCCAGACCTGATATTTAACTCTAGTTGAGTGTTAGGACACATTTGTTTGCAGCCTTTTCTCCTTTTTAAAGACTTACTTATTTATGCATACAGGAGCAGAGTCACTGTGGGTCAGAGGTGTGGAGGTGAGAGGGTTCACCAGAGGCAGAGTGGGGAGCAGAACAGGCAGAATGATAAAGTTCACTGCTAAGGGGAGCAGTGGGCAAAACAGAAGAGGTCTGCTGCACTATGTGGGTCACCTCCAGGGCGGGGATCCAACTCATGCTGCAGTGGCATTAGCTTCTTAGTGCTGTGCTTTAACCCGCTGCGCCACCAGGGAGGGCCCGTTAACACCATTTTTTAATGAAGAATTAAGATGAGACCAACACAAAATAAATAATTAAGTATCACTATCAGCACTGTGTTTTGATTTAAGGGGGGAGGTTTGCATGTTCCAGGGGGAGATTTCCAGGAACAAATATAGATGGTGGAGACACCAAGGAACATTTACTGTAGTGAACCTTGATGTGTCCCATGTCATCTTTGTAGATGTGAGAAAAGTCTAATATGGAAACTTCTACAATGCTGGACTCAAGCAATTTCAGGATTTTGTTGGTCATTTGAGGATAAAATGAACAAAGTTTGATTCTAAAAGTTTGGAGTGATGTATCTGAATAAAATAAATATTTCACTTATCTCAGCTTTTTCAGTTTCAAGACAATATCCTATTCAGTATTTTACTTGAACTGCTGGAATAAGATAAATGAATTGCAGGTAATAGGGTTTCAGGTTTTGCAGCTACTTCTGCCAAAAAGAGGAATTCAACTATTTCCATTTTATGTTTCCAGGTCATGTTTAAATGATCATAAGGATCTTCAAATGTGTATTTATTGCGTCATATGTAGGACTTTTGAGTCAGTATATTTGATGTGTATGCAGTCAAAGGTGCTCAACAGTTTCAGTTGATCCAGTTATTTTCAAAAGTCAGTCTACCTGGTGATCAAGGTATTCAAAATAAAAGGAACTAGTATTTGTGGGAGATAAATGAAGACAGAATGTCATTTCAATCTCTTGAATCATCACACTAAAAGAACCTTGGAAACCATAGTTGACACTGGTGTGATAAATTTACAGTTATTTCTTATGGAAATGAAATTAATATATCAATTTTGAAAAAAAAAAGACATTTGCAATTCATTGTAGGGGCAGGAAAAGGCAGATTCCATCACATGGGACTTCTGGGAATAAATCACTAGGATATAAACCAAGTATATAAAAA